TGACAGATTTGACGGGTTCATCTTCGAGGCCGAAAACCCTTCGAAAACGTGTGCGCCACAGGAGCCTTCCCAGTTTCTCTGGGCACCTGCGAATTCGTGCCTGCGTTTTGCAGGGTCGACACTTTGCCCGCCTTCCAGCTCATCCGCTGCTCTATCACATGTCAGGGCTGCAACTTTTAAGATCGTTTGTGCATCAAGATGTGATGTTTCCGCCAAGCCTGTTGCGAATACTTGCTGCGCATGTCTTCGAAGCGTTGAGCTGCAACCCATTCTGAAGAAGCGGGCCAAGCGATGCCACGTCCCTCCGAGGCGATGAGAGGGCCCAAGTCTTGGCCGCTACCATCGCCGAGCTGCCCGTCCAGCTGGGGCTGAACCTGGGAGGCAACTCGCTGGGCCCGAAGCTCCAAGTGTTCTGCGACTGTCAGGTCTTGGCGACTCCAGGTCTGCCGGTATCCTTCTGAAGGCACGTCCATGCTCCTTCCCGACTGCTTTGCACCGTTTCGTTTGAAGCCTAAACTGGTGAACCACCAGCTCTTCAAGAGTCAACTTCTTCCACGGAGACTCCGGAAAGACAGAGAGAGCGGAGTGAGAGATGAAGACCTGTTGGGTGCGATGCGCAGCCAGCACTTGTTGCAAGCTGCCTCTTCCCACAGCACTTGCCACAAAACATTCAGCGCGTCTGCAAAGATGGTGATCCCACACTCTGTGCGGCCGTGGCCGCTTGTAGATGGTGCGCTCTGGGAACTCCCCAAAACAAAGTTCATGCAAACAGCCCAAAGCCACAATGAAGGCCGGGACTTGCAGCCGTCCGCTCCCCGGAGCCTCCGAACCCCTGGTAATGCAATCCGCCCCCCCACACCATTCTGAGTGGGAGTTGCAGAAGATGGGTATGACAGTTTTCAGAGAAGACTGCCACTCTGACGGCGGAAGAGCAAAGACACCCAAAGTTGGTTTTGAGGAGCCTGAGCAGGTCTTGCAGGTCGCAACAGAGATCCGAGCTTTTGATAGGTGCAGTTCTCACGGTTCTTCGAGGTTTCGGGGTGTCTAGCTCTTGGGGGAAACCTGAAGCAGAGACCCGGCTCCGAGGCTCCGCTCTCTCGGAGCTCCGAGGCCCCGGCCCTGGACCTTTTGTCTCTGGGCTACCGGGCCCAGCTTGTTGTCCACAGGTTCAACTGCAGCACTTGGACCGGGAGCTTGGCCAAGGCGGCGGCCAAGGCGCGGGCACCCTCCACGCCTCGCGCAAAATCGCTCTGCACCGAGCTTTTCATTCGCTGCGCCCGTTCCAAAGACTCCATTACACCATGCAACAAAAGCTTGGCTTAGCTTGCTGCCTTGAACCTTTCACCCACCTGCCCACACCTTTGAGCTACAAGGCTACAGGCAAGCTTTTCCGCCATCAGAAACGAAAAGCAGCAAGCGTGTTGTCTTTGTCGAGCCTGCTTCTTTGGCTTCACTAGCACTCTAGAAAGCCGTAGCCTTTTGTTGTTGCGTGGTGTAACGCTTCCTGAACGGTCTCGGCCTTCACCCTGTCATTAGAGCACTGTTCTGTGCGATTCTGCATGCGTTCTTGCATGTCAAGCCTTCTCAGGAGCAGAAAGCGTCCTAACCCCTGAACCCTAAGCTAAACCCTAAAGGATTTGCTACCAGTCTGCAGCCATGCTCACGGTTTTTTGGCGCCGTGCAGAAGCCTTGAAGCTTAGCTCAGTTGTCCCAGGGTTTTGTAGCCATGCAAGCACTTGAATGCAATATGATGAATTGAATAGAGTTTGTATGCTCATGTGATTATAATATGATGAACATAACTATGTTATTTTTGGTATACTCCGGACGGGGCTTGTAAAGAATTTGAGACTGTCGTTCAATGGAAGGTCACAGGGGGCACGGAAGGCGAGGGTCGTTCACGTTGCACGGCCAGAGTCGTGAATTCCGCCGAGACTGCGAGAACATGTAGTGGTCCTTTGATAAGGACCCTTTCGAAAGGCAGAGAGATGATCCTATTTATCGGGTAAACCAGAGGTCTGCAAAGTTTGCGGTCCCCAGCCGGAGGCTAAGAACGGCCTCCACCCTCAAAAAAATCACCGCAGTCCGCAGGTTCCCCTGAGGCCGTGTTGAACACCGAACCTGAATCCTCAAGGTTTGCCTCAAAGTTAGCATGCGTCATGGTGCTAGGATGTGCTAGGCTTGGTGGACCGGGGGTGTGCCACATGCTGACCGCGGCGCTCTTGTGCTGGGCGCAAGGATTCATGGATCATCGCATCGGCAGTGGACGACCCTTGCCGACTTGCCTGGGCACCTTGGATCCATCAGCATTCTGCATCGACATGATCCAATATACTGCTGCTCTCCGGGTTTCAGGCTCGGCTTCAGCACAGCGTTTCTGTCCAAGGTGGGCGGGCGAGATCCGGAGACTGTGCCACCTGCTCCGAGGGGCGCCGGGCTGACAAGCCTAGCAGCTTGGCGCCATCCGTAAAAAGGAAGCCGGGAATTAAGTCCGGCTCACAGTGCCTTGCCGAGCCGGTGCGGCCGTAGCCAAGGCCCATGAAGAGAAATTCCGGGGCGGGGTTGGCTGGATTCGACTGCATTTCTTGAGGGTCCGCATGCCAGAGACCTTGGATTGACGGCTGCAGGGAGAGTTTAGAAGCTCAAGTCCGTGAGTTGTGCAGGCTCTGACATGTTTAGCATTGCCGCATATTGCACTGCAGAAGCCCTTTTCGGGATCAAGTCCGAATTTTGTTCCTGGCCAGAATTGAAGCACATCGAGGCGTCATCACAAGTATGGCCAGCGTGTCTTCACTTCCAGTGATCAAAGGATCCTCACCATCTCGCTCTAGTGCGCAAGTGGTGGCTGAACAAGTGGCATCGCTTTTGCGACAAGTGGAGTATTGGCATCAGATGTACTTGGACTCAGAAGCCTCCTCTGCGAAACAGAGATCTGATGAAGTTCAACTCCTGCAGAAGCAGCTGTCCGGTGCGCTGGATCGAGAGCGATTCTTGGCTTCGAAGAATTTGGAACTTCGCTCTGCCTCGCAAGCCAAGCAAGCGGAGGAAGAGGAAGAAGCCCGGCAAAAGGTGGCACTTTGTGAAGAACTCAGCAGTGTACACGTGATGTTGCAGCGTAAGGAGGAGGAGCTGCAAGAAAGTCGGAGGCAGTCAATTACTCGAGGAGAGCAGGTGGAGAAGTTGAGAGACGATCTTCAAAAGCAGTTCTTTGATGCGGAGCAGCACAAGGCAATGGAGTCAGAAGTAACGGACCTTCAAAGGAAGCTGGAGGCATCTTTGAAGAAGATCAGTGCAAAAGAGCACCTGTGTGACACGATGGACCAAGAGCTGAGCATCTTGCGAAGTCAGCTTCCAGCCAAGGAGGCTGAGCTGGCCCAGTTGAACAAAGACTTTCAAAAGAAAACCGCGGAGGCCGAACGGGCCGAAGAGCAGCAGAAGTCCCTTCGGCGGGAAGTGTCGGATTTGCAAGTGAGGCTCGATGCGTCTCTGCAGAAGATGTCGGCGAAGGAGCAAGAGCTGCAGTGGCTGCAAGCACAGTTGAGGGAGAAAGAAGATCAGCTGGAAGAGCTGCAAAAGTGCCAAAGCTCCACAAGTGCAGAGCTGGCTGAGCTGCGTGACAAAACGGAGGTCGCTTTGGAAGCGAAAGAGTTGGAAGTCGCGAAGCTCAAGGGTGAACTTGCCAAAGAACAGGAAGTTTGCCGTGCAGCTGTGTCCGACAACTGCGAGTTAAGGCAACTTTGTTGTGACAAGTTGAGTGCCCTTGGGGAGCAAGAAGCCAGGCATCAGAGGTTTGTGAAATTCCTGGAAGCTGAGAAGGAGATGTGGCTGAACAGGAGCGACCACTTCGAGAAGGTGAACTCTCGTTTGCGATTGGATTTGCAGAAAAACCTAGATGCGGCTGACGCAGAAATGACTTTGACACCGACGCCGCCACCACGACGCCCATCCACCGCCGGATCCTATCGCGACAGGGTTGGTCGGACCCTCCTTCAACACCGAGCAGAGGGCAAGAAGAGCTCTGATGCTCAACAACCGGAGGATTGAGTTTTGAGAACTCGGAGATGTCAAAGGCATCGTTTGCTTTGTGCAGTATGGGGCAGGATGCTTCGTACGCCTTAGGCACGTCGTCTTGCTTTTACTGCGCAGCCCCTTGTATAGTTCAGTGGCTCTGACTGGACGCGGTGATTTGGCCCGTGTTTTGTTCGAACGGCAACGCCTGTTCGTTGTGAGCACTGCTTGACCGGCAGCGACCGCAGCTGGTCATTCAGCTTTTTGGCTTCGAGTTTAAGTTAAGGGCTTAGGGCTAGAGAGGCTGATGCTGGAGGTTGCACTGGTGTGACAAAGTCGGCGGCTGCGGCCTTCCAGATGCGACATCAGACTCGAAGACGGACTGCAATCAAGCACAGTCCCCAAAAAGAGCCGCGCTCTAGTGAAAGTTGGCGCCCTGGCCCATGCGAGCCCCAACTGCACTTTCGCCCACTTTTGTAGAGCAGGAGCCCTTCATGAACCACAGAGTTTCCCTGAGCCTAAGGGGTCAACGGCAAAGCATCACTGCACTTTTTGTTCAACTGTCCCGCTTTTGGCCATCGGAGTCGTCGCCCACGTAGTCTTCATCTGTTGAACAGGATATTCTAGGCACCAGCAGTTTGCAAGCTTCCGCGCAAGGGCTCGACACAGGCCACCAGTAAAGGGAAGTATCGGAGCGGCGCCGATGCTCTCGCTACCAACAGTCAAGCGCGTGCGACTTGCTGTTTTTATTCTGGCAGATCTTTCTGACAAGTTTACAAACACATATTTCCTTTCCGCGATGAATCTTCGAAGCTCAGTTGGAAATCAGCATGACAAAACATGCACTTCTGAGACGTTCTATCTTGGTCTTTTGCCATGGCTGGACTTCTACGGCGCCTGGGACACATCAGCGAGGCCGAGCTTTGTGTGTAGGAGCTTTAGAGGTTGAGAGTTTTAGGGGTTTTGAGGTTCAACGGTTTAGGCTGTACTTGATCTTGCAACATCCGAGTATGCCCTGGAATCGAGCAGGCATCATTGTCTTCTTCGTCTTGCGCTTTCGAAGCTGCACCTGCCCTGCGAGACAAAATGAGCACGGGGTGACTCTGGTTTTGCCACTGCTTGGCATGGCCTTAACACTTACGTTTGAGGCTTGTTGAGCACGCACGGTCTCGGGATTTCATATGGAGCTGGTGCAGCATCTTCAGAGCAATGACGGAGGTGAAGCCCAATTTGCAGTCACGAGCCATGTTGTGAATCCAGTGACATATCTGCTCAGCCATATGGCCTCGACCAGCGCGAGTTTCGCATGTCAAGCGGAGCAATACTTTCACCTGCTTAGCCGTGAAGCCCAGCCATTCAGCATCAGTCGAACAGGTCTCCGAGAATCCCTTAGGACAGAGGCCTAGCGTGGTCGGATGCCAAGAGGATGCACTTCTGTTCGCTCTTCACCATCTTCTGCGCTCACATCGAATCTCGGAGTTTGATTACAGGGACTCCAGTTCTTGAAAAAGCAGGTCATCCTCAGCCGTCATGTCCCGGGACTGAGGCTTCCTACGCTTCCGCACAAGATGAGAACCTGTCGAGCCAGACCTGGTCATTCTCAATCTCGTCGGACGAGAACTGGAACAGGACGCTGCCCGTTGGGTCAGGAAGATGCCGGGGTTCTTAGTATAGTATAGTATAGTATAGTCTAGTATAGTGTAGTATAGTATATTATATGTTGAGGGTGGGCTTACAGCAAGGATAAATTCAAGGTGGTGAATAGTTTGGGTTTAGCTTTCGAGTCATTATCCCCGAATCCATAAAGCCTTAAATCCGTAGAACCCTAAACCCTAAACCCTAATCCATTGCTGCTTTCATGAGGAGTTGCCTATCGGATGCAGTTCCAATTGTGGAGCGGAGATGGCTTCCCAGCGCCGGTGGCCGTCCGCTAGGCTCGTGAAGTTTCTGGGTGTCTTGTACATCGTCTAGTATGAGCCAAATATTATATATATATGTATATGTATAGTATATGCATATATATATATATCTATACACATGAGATATTTTGTGTTAGATATTTTACATTACTTTGCTAGCGAGTCTCTTGAAACAGTGAAGTGGCCATGGCAGCCGCTGGATTCCGTGCAGCACCCCCTTGCGGTAGCCCTGACAGTACCCCTTGTGGAAATATCGGTAGTTTAGGGTTTAGGGTTTAGGGAGTATGCCTCACGAATGGTAGGTGTTACATCATTCGAATCCCTGACCCTAAGATGGGAATGCTGCTTGAACTCTCCCCATGCCGAGACACCGTTCTGCATCCTACTGGGCTTAGGGGGTTTCCACGGCTGTCTCCAGCCTTAAGCCCTAAAGCCCGAAACCCTGCTGAGTATTGCCGAAAGCTGATGTGTGCATGCTGTCCTGCCAAGCTTTTTCGGAGGGGGCTAAACGGCCTGCCTGTACCAGGCTCTCCGGCCTTGTGGATGCAAGACGGAAAAAGGTCCTTAAAAAAAAAGCCCGAAACCCCTCAGGCCTATGGAACCTCTATGGTTCGAAGATGGAGCTGGACACGCCGAGCACTATCTTTCAGATTCTGGCGGAGGAGGTCCTGGGCTGCTTTGCCTCATCGAAGCAACTCTTTTCTGGAGGGAAGTATGAAGTATGCAGCTTCCTAAGCTTCTTCAGGGTTCTCTCTGGGGTTTCTCGGTGGTTCTTTGGGGATACACCAGAAGTTGGTTTTCAGAAGGCTGCACGGGGCTTTGTAGGGCTCCATAGGGCGTTGTTGGGGTCCTATAGAGTTGTTAAGCTCTGATGACTAGAATCAATTCGGTGCAGAGGCCGTAAGCTGAAGGATAACAGCAACAGAGCAAAAGAGTTACAATAACAAGGCATGTGCTGCCCCGAAAGGTCGTGCAATTTAAGGAACGCATGTGACTGGCACGGTGGTTTCGGCTCGAAGATTAAGATGCTTCACCAACACTGTTTGCTGGCACATGCATGTGGTCATACTTTGCATGTGGGGGCATGGCAAGTGAGCGGCACAGCAATGCAAGACGAAAGGCAGAGGACCAAGAACGGAATCAAGCCCCCCTGATCCCTCCCAAGCTAGAAAGCCCCGACGATACCGATGACAACTTTAACAAACACAACAAAAAGCACCCGTCAGTAGGTGTTGGTCATGGATGCTCTGCCCTTCCCACATCGCAAAGGCGGCCATGGACGCCATTGGGCTTTGGCCATGGATGCCTTGCCCCCAAATCCCCCAAAACGAAGACCTCGTCACCGAAACGGCCCCAGTGTTAGACTTCCGCGAGAAAGCCGATGTGCAAAAACCCACGCGAACTGCACGTTTCTGTCACGAGAACGACGGCCGCAACCCCCCTTGACGACCTCGTGCCTGTTTGCGCCCGACGAAGACAGCATTGAGCAGAAGCTCAAAATGTTGTAAACACTACAGTTGTCTGCCTTTTCGACAGCCAGCAGCGGCAGCAACAACGACAACACAAGCAACAAAACCAACACCAACACCAGCACCAACACCAAAACCAATACAAAAACACCACCACCAACACCGACACCAACAGCGACACCAAAACCAACACCAAGACCAACACCAACACCAACCCCAACACCCCAACACCCCAACCCCACAACACACCAACACACCAACAACACCAGCAACAACAGCA